GTGTGTGTGTGTGTGTGTGTGTGTGTGTGTGTGTGTGTGTGTGTGTGATGAAACGTCGAAAAAACGGTGACGACTCGAACGAGGGTGGAATCGATCGTGGAAAAAACGAATTCTACCGTGGATCGCGCCATTATTCGGCGTCCACGGCCGCGGAGAAAACAATTCAGCCTCAGAGTCTCATCAGTCGTTAAGAATTATTTATTCGGGAGCAAAATTGAGCATTCTGGAATCCATCGGCTCGCCCTCTGTGTATGTTCGTTTTTCTTACGCGGGGGAATGTGTGTTTCTTATTTGTGTGATTGACTGCAGCGAGCTGCACGAGGGAGAGATCCCGTCTTTGAGTCTTCTGGCGAATTTCTTTCATTTTTTTTTTTTTGTTACTTTTCTAGTTTCTTTTTTTTCCATTCTTGTAATTACTTTAGGCGAGACATCGATGTAACGTTATCGTCACTGTTTCCCGTGTAGACAAAACGTCGTGCGTAAATCTAGAAAATATCTACGGTGTCGAGGAGCTCTATTTTAGACGAATAATACTGTTCGTGATGATCGCGACACGCGCGGCGAGAATGGTCGCGCGAGCAGTTAACAAGTACTGGATGCTTCGTTTGTCTTGACCAGGTTTACGACAATAAAAACGCATTCGCTTTCAAAAAGCATCCTTGAAATGTAATGAAAAATGACCTTCACGAGGAAGGAACGTCAATCGCAACACTTGTCTACAAGAAACAATTTTCTCAGACATTTCTTGGTACGATAAAAAACAGACAGAGTGGCGAAGACAAACGAAATACCATAATTGTATTTAAATATCAAAGTTCGTTCAGATTTCGTTGTTCCCGGATATCCGTCCCTCTCGCTGCGCGCGCACGCGCGTAGAACGTGTAAAAGGTGAGCGGTCGTTCGCCTCCCAGATGAGTCTTGTCGGTTTTATTTAATGCCCACGACACGGAGAATCACAACGCCGGTGTTTGGTCACGCGGACACGGGCCCGGAAGTGCGGTGATTTTGGCGAATTAATAACGGTGTTGTTCACTTACCTGAGCAGTCGCGAGGCCCCTCCGTGACTCGCCCCGGTTAAAAGTAATCATACAAACGCGGCACGCCAACGCTACCACACCGTGTATAACGCTACTACAAAAGTTTAGAGAGATAAAAAGACACAAGGTGTCCCCTATCGCGTCACATTAACGAGGATCAACCCTAACTCGCGATTGGTCACTTCGAAAGCAATGCCCGAGTCCAATTCGACTCCTATGAGAGCAAATCCCAACGAATCGTTAGAAAATCCTTCTCGAATCTTACCTTCGCGATTAACGTTTGGTGCTACCTTCGTTCGGAGACTACCTTGTTCTACAATTCGCTACCATTAACACGACCCAACGGCGCTCAAACACCTCAGTCGCGTTCCCAAGGTAAGAACATTTCAAAAAACAACGTCCACGAGTCGTCGACCCTTCCGATGTACATTTTCGAGATCCTCGAAGCGTAGCTCCGCCTCGAACGAAGATCACCTTCGTTCAGGAGTTGGAGGACGATCGTCTAAGCCAACTGCGACTTAGACGTCGCAATGATCGCGCCTCGTGACCTCGGGGAACTAGTCGCACCCTTTCCCTAGACGACCAGGTGATTTCCACGGATCTCACGAAATCCTAGGACCTAGAGTTCCTCTGATAAAGCGATGGGTGCTCTGGAGCCTGGCTTCATGTCCTTCACGCCAATGCCAATGTCGTCGACGGGCACTGGGGCCAGCTTCAGCTGGTTACCGTTCAGCTTGATGTCGTTGACGGAATGGGAACGACCGTGTGTTACCAGAGGCTTGGCTGTTTGGTTGGTGCTGGTGTTGGAGTTCGAACTGCTGACGGAGTTTACGCTAGGGCTGGTGACCGTATTCGAGCCCGCGCAGTTCGCGGTGCTGGAGCTGGAACTGGAGTTGGAGTTCGCGTCCAAAGGAAGACTGAGGACCACGGGTTGAACCACGGGAATTGGAGCAGACGATTTGGACCGTGGCTTCGGTTTGGCGTTGGAACACGTCGAGTACAAGCTTGGAACGGGCACTGGAGGGTGATCGTGATCGCGAGTGACGTCTGGCGCGGAATCAGGCGACACGGACATCTTCGCTGTCGCGGCTGATTTCGTGGCGAACGCTGTTAATTGATTGGCGGACTGAGATCGAACCGTGTGACCTGGCTTGTCCCGGAGGGCCATCTGATAGGCCACTTCGAACGCTTGGCCCAGAGTCAGGATCACCTCGGTTGCTTGGTCCTGGAACAGGAGACTCTCGCTTCGTACACTTATGCAGACGGAGAATGCTGTCTGTGGTTGAAGGAATGATACACAGAAGAACCGAAGGGTTTTCCGAAAGAGACTTCAGGAGTTTTGGAATACCCTTTATAAGATTCTGATACTGCAAAAATCGATTAACTCCACCACTCACATAAAAATTGTAACATTACTGACGATTATTTTTTGGTTATTCTTTCGTATTAATTTTATATACCGCTAGATGAAAGCTACATCTGTATTTATGCATTCTACAATATTTATTTGAATTTATATTATAAACGGAATTTTAAAAAACGAGTTAATCGATTTGTGCAATGAACGACTCATATGTAGACTGCGGATTTATAGGGAATTTAATTATGCAAGAAACTGCAAAATTCATAGAAGCAAAGTTCATATTAGAATATTTGCAGAGTAAAATACCCCGACTGGCTGTATTCTCTGCAAAGATTTTATTGTGCATAAAGATCCGCAGTCTACTCATATGGAAATTGCGTTGGCCAATGTTGACGATCTTGTTTTTGTCCACTGATGTAACTATGCAGCTTCAATATTTGAAAAAAATATTGTTTTCATATAAAATGGACTCACCATAGTTGGCACGCAAAAGACGTGACAGAAATGCGTACTGCTGGCATGGTCCTTAGTGATGTACGCAAAATGGGTAAGATCGTCGGCGTCCTGACAAGCGCAGTGGATGTTGCGAATTTCGTGTTCGCAAATTGGCTCCTATCAATCATAATATCCAATACAAACGTATTGTAGGTAAGCTTGCTAAGTATCGATGTTTATCCTTTATAACACTGCCGTGTGCACTATTTAGACGTTTCACGAGAAAAGGAACGGGCATAGTCGCGTCTTTCAAAGCACGAAGTGACCTTATGCGAGTGCAACGGTGCCATAAAGGATCAACGATGACGAATGTTTGGCAACTTCGATTCATGAGAGTATCTTACATTCGTTACTGTGTTCAGGAAGCGAACGCCACGATAAGAAATCGCCAGTGTGATGTCAGGAGTGACTCTAGGCTCGCGGCAGGTTTTCTTCAGCTTCTGTATCGACATCTTGGTTGATTCTGTGCCACGTAACTCCTTCACAACGGTTGAGCCCAGATACTGCTCGATTTTAAAACAGAAAAAATACTCTGTCTCTAGAATCACGATGCAAACTAGCAAAACAAACTGGAAGAAAGAGTTGCTATCGCAAACTACATATTGAAAACTTGTTGTTTTTACAGCTCGTATACTCGCGGAAGTATGCAATTATTAAACTCGACAACGTAATTCCACCGAGGAAGGAAACGTTGAATGTTTCTTGGGCGTGTTACAAGGGAGATAATATTCTGTATGAATTGTGTTATTAGTTACACCCACGCTACGATTATGATAATAGCCTTCACCTTGGAGCTCTGTCACGACTATCTGGCTGACATCACGACGCACTCGTTATTCAAGAACCGTGTAATACATTAGAGCGAGGGCAGAATTACGGAGTACAATTACTGCGTCGACATGGAATACTCTCGTTTCCGTGGCTACGATTAACGGGTTTCTATTTGACGTATCAAACTAAACTTGTGCAGCTAAAAGCTAATGTTTCATTATAGTAACAATATAAATTCCCTGAAATTACATTTACATTTACAAAATTACATTTGGTGATTATTCTATAAGACAAAGAGAGTAAAAGAAACACCATAGCTACCCTTACTCTCATAGAATCACCTAATACTGCATTACTAACGCGCAATCGATTCTCAATTTCCTGGACCCCAGAAATTGGCATAAAGAATATGCCAGCGACTGACTGTTCGCCAGTTAAAGACGTGAAGAATATTTGGCAGAGGACTTTGCGACAGGAAGCCACGGGTAAGGAGCCAAGAAGCAAAAGAAAGAATACGGATCAATTAGACTTACGTTAGCGACGTATGTAACGCATCCCGTGACTAGAGCTCTTGGCTGGTGCCTCCATTGCGTCTTCAGGGTGGACGGAACGCCAAACAGCAACTCCGACGGCGCCCTGATCTCCAGCTGTTCCGGGGCTGATATCGCCCCATTATGCGAACTGGGTCGCTGTGGTGGCTGAGGGGCTGGTCTGTTTTTGCGATGCCTTAACGTTCCCGTGCCAGTACTAGTCGAATTCGTTCCAACTATCGGTGGCGGCACGACATTAACCTCCGTCGTTGTCTCAGGCAGTTTTTCTCTTATCTCCTCCTTCAGCTGCTGAATGTTCGTCTTCTGCGAAAACGATAGAACAGAATCCATTGGACAGAGGTAATATTTAACCCTTTGCACTCGGAGCCATTTCGTTACAGAATGTGCAAACGGGAATTCAACTTATAAAACATGTAATTTACTGTAACGATACTTGAGCTTATATGAATCTTTAGACGTTGAGAAACATATTTATGTCAAAAATCAAAACTTTATACTCTTCAAATATGTGATATGTGAAACAGTCAGAGATATGCATTGATAGTTTCTATCTTTTAAGTTGCAATCTTAGGCTTCCTTGAAGCCGAACAATCCTTGGTCGTGCGTAATAGCGAGCTAATGGCTGCGAACCTGTAATAAGATGTTTAGATTTTGATTAGTAGGGACACCATCAAGGATCCGTAGCTGGTACTAGGCCAAGGAGACAAGAGTCTAAAAAAGAAACCGTCAAGGAATCATACACTTTTACAAATTTTACGCTCCCATAAGTTTATCCTTTTTTTTTTTATCGAATGGAGTTGCTTTATGCATACCCGGATTCTCTGGGAAGTCCCCGGGTTATGTAAGGCTCTCCTCGGGCGGAGGTCACCGAGCAATAGCTCCGCGTCCGCCACCAAAGGCTTACCCACTAAAAACACTCGCTCACCTAAGCTACAAGGGAGGTGCCTGGTTCTCGCGGAAACGGACTTACGATGTCCCCTCAGAAGAAACATTCAAGTGCAAAAGGCTAAAACTCGCCCTCTAAAGTGTCGCGATACTAGTCTTAAAAATCCTAGTTCTTAAAAATAACAGCAGGTTTTCCCTTCTCTAGCGAATAGTCCGTGTACAGGGAAAAAAGGGCAGGTATCGATTTCTCTTTCATATGCAAAATACATCCGATGGACTCGCGAATGAACCTACAGAAAGAAACATTTTTTTTATATTCTACCATTTCGGTGAACCAGATGACGTTACGTTGTACCAGTTTCGCCTCACGGAGCCTCTGGATGCGTCGATGAACACAACGGGAACAGAGGGGAAAAAAGAGGAGAGAAGCCCGGTACCCGAGGAAAATTTTCACGAAGCGTTGCAAAGCCACGCTCGAAAATCCGGCTCGCGTTACACGACGTACAATTACACACGTAAAAGCGTCGCGTTTCGAATTGCCACCCGTTTGCACGGCTTGAAAAAAGGAAACTTTTTGCAATCTCTCCGGCAGAAACACGCGCCTGTTTCGCGGTGGTTGGGGAATTACGATCAAACCGGATTCAAACCACGCGAGCGTATCCCTCGAATTCGGATTACACGCCGCGAATCGTTTGTTACATCTGGCTTCCCTGTATAATTTGTGTCGCGCCGCGAACCCCCTGGGAACGTGCACGCGTAAAAAACAAAGAGACAATGTTGGAAAAAAAAGAGGGACAATAATTTCCAACGGGGAAAATTCGATGATTGAAAGAGGAAACGTGTTTAGTAATCAATAATTACAGGGTTTGATCTGCGGGGTCTGCTGTAGGAAAAGATAGTTATTCTTGCATCGTATTGTAGGAAATCGTGGAAGAATAATATTATATTTTTCATTTGGAGAGCGTCAGAGCATTAAGTTATATTGTAGTGCCTTCTTGGTTTAAAAATCTTCATAAACACTCGTCCACGTATTTCTAAAGACGTACGTTTCCGTATCGCGGTAACAGTGCGTTTCGTCCTCGATCCGCAGACGAAAACCGGGTGGCCCGAGGGGGTGGCGCGATATTCGGACCACGAGTCGTGAAATTCGATTAAAGGAAAAGAATAGACGTAAGGACCAGAGAAACGGAGGAACAAAAAGAGCGATTTGGACGTGTGCGCGTCGACCTGGCGGCCATTAATCGAATTTAATTAGCTAATTAAGGGAGAAGCGCCGAAAAGACGAGCGGGACGAGGTAGCGGAGTAGCTCGTTAACGGATGCACGTATCGCGCTCGAGGCGCCCGAACAAAAACCATTAGCGTCCGCTCGAGCGATCAGGCTGAAAGCTTCCTCGAGTGTTGTCCCCCATCAACCCCCTCGACGTACAGGCCGTGCACTGTACGGCGCGTCGGACAGGTAAGCTGATGCACACGTTACAATAACGGCTCTCCAATTAGCCACGATATTTACATTATGACGCGATCGGCTGAAAGCCGTCGGAAGCGATCGAGCCTTGCCGTGTCGCCAGCCACCCTCGACGCTCGTTTCGCCCTCTTTTGCCCAAGTGTTACGGGCCCTTGTCAGACACCCCGTTCAACCGTTCACGGTAATTCTTAACAGAATTGTTGCTGCGTCCGCCCACCACCGCCCACACACCCTATCTGGAACACTCCACGTTTTCGTTGCCCACTTCAAACGCGATCTTCGCGATGTAACGCGCCCCCTGCACTTCCCAGGTGAGAGAATCGACGGGGAGAGCATCGTGACGTACGTCGTTAACACTTTACAGTCGATGTGGTTTCGTCGTTTCGGTTTGGGTACGCATGTGCAGTCCCTTTTGCTAAGGTGTATTTGATGTTGTGGTGTTGGTTGAAATATCATGAAAATCGTGTTTGGATTCTTATATTTGGTGGGTTGGAGAGGTATTAGACGGGTTGATTAGGAAGTAGGTTGAAATCCGAATTCAGCAATCTCACGAGTCAATTTTGATCCTTGCTCTTTCCAAGAGTTTTACAGACTCTTATAATGTAAATGAATGTAATTGTCAGGAAACATCAACCAACGATTTATATTCATCACGAATGAAAGAATTCACTCACCAAGGTGTTCAGGTCCTTGTTGAGGTCCTCCAGGTTGGGCCCAGCACAATTGCGATTCTGTGCACGAGCGTTGGAGCTGTTGAGCGACGCGAGGATCCTCTTTCTGTGCGCTGGCTTTTGGATTTCCAACACGGTCGCCAGTTCGTCCTCCCACACGCGTCTTACACGATCCATGTCCGTGTACAAGTGTTTCCTGAACGTCTCCGCGTAATTCTCCAGGTGAATGCTCTTCAACCACTCGTCCACCGATTGCCCAGTGCTACTGGATCGTTTCTCCACGCGTTTATTCAGTAGACCTACGGCGTCCATGATCACGGCGCGCTCCTGGTCGCTGCTGATCTCCATGTCCTTTAGGTCGGCCTCGTCTAGTACTCCGTTCTGCGAACAGGTGATGTTCCTTTGAGATTTTGAACCAGATGGAAGTCTGGTGATTCTGACGTGCGAACGGTTTCAGAATTTTTGCGAGAGCTTAATGAAATACGTGGGACAACTTCGAATGGATAAATTAACCCTTTGCACTCCAAGCAATTTGGCTTTATGTAGGTAGCCAACTCTAAAATCATTTTTCTTAGAAGTTTACATTTTTATTAAACATAATCATACACAAATAATAATAGTTTAGTGGAAATATTGTTCTTCATTTGATTATATTTATATGAAATTCTTTGAAACAAATAATGGAAAACTAACGTATTCGTTAACGCTATTGCTTAAGAGAATATTGATCTTATAACTAATTGAATTTAGACACTTGTAACTTAGTAAAATTTAGTGATAAATTGTGGGCAATAACACGTGCCGTAGAAGTAGAATGCCTTTATGTGCCTGGGCAGTACACGTGGCTTTAGGAGTGCAAAGGGTTAATTTGAAAAATGTTGGAGGTGAGATACTCACGATGAAGTCCAGATCGTCGAAGCCAGAGTTGACGAAGAGAGTCTCGTAATCCGCCAAACCCAACGTTGACAGCCACTGACCGACGGAAGTGGAGACAATGGGGCTGCTGCTGGTGTCCGAACTCAGACCTGCGTACAAATCAGACAGAACCGCAAGTTTAATGCATTGGAAACATCTTCGATATCATGCCTCGCCGTTTGCTCGTTTTGGTGGACAGAGTTAGACGCGATTCGCGCGAGTTCAGGGGTTAGTGGCGAGTATCGCACGCTAACGTCGATCCCAAGTGTTAACGAAATCTTTGTTAGAATGTTCTTCCTTTTTTGTTAGTATCTTCAGAAATGAATTAGCGACTCAACCCTTTGATAATCATGCGATTTTATTTTACATCGAGTAACGATGTAATGAATTCTACAATGGATCTGAATGAATAATGAAATGTACAGAGACGTGAATGTTAAAGAAGTATACAGAGTGAGGAAGAAGCTTCTTTCTTTTTTCATTGATTAGAGATGTTCGCGGGGGTATTGGACTAAAGCTGCAAGGTACCTAGTCTCGTTTGGAACTCCTTCTCGAGCTCGGTGACGAAAACGGACTCCCTGACGAGGCCTGTCCCGATGGACGCCATGATCTCGGAAATCTTTGCCCATTCCTCCTGCTCGTCGAAGGGGCTCATTATACTAAGGGACTTCTCGTCCCTTTCACGATCGCGATCGGATAATCGAAACGGGACCTCTCCGTCATCGATACGTTCTCCGCCTCCAACCTCGCCCCCGGTTCCCATTCCGCATGCAGCCGGCCCGTAAACGTTCCGCAAACGACGCAGCGTACGCGGTCGTTCGGCCGTCATGGATCCTTTTAACAAACCTGTCGAAATCATAACATGTCGATTACACGGTGACGTCAGTGGCAATGTAAAATGTTTCCTCGGTGAGCAGGTTCAGCATTCTTCGATTATTTACAACCGAATCGAGTCGGGCGAGTTTCAAGTAACCGAGGAAGGTGGCATTTCTCTTCCACGAAGCTGTTGTATTGAAGTATGTTGAAGGTATTGTATTCAAGACAAATTCTTCTTATGTGAAAATATGTTTCAAGACGTGTGGCAGGTTTTGACTGTGTACTGTGGGGAAAGTCGTACTATTAATGTTTATAGAATTGTATGTACAATTCTTGTGTATGTGTGTATCTGCGAATAAAATCAATGAAGCATTGTTTCTTCAAGATGTTATATAAACATATAACATTCTGCAAGTAGGGCACGGGTACATAACGAGTTAAACGATCAAAAAATTCGACCCGTCGTTACGAGTTTTACTGTTCCAACGAGATCACCCTGCCCCATAAATTTCGCCCCGATAAATCCTCTTTTAGCTAGGTTAAAGCGTGTCGTTGTCAGCAGGAAACAACGATTCCGCAATAATCTTGGCTGATCCGAATTTGTTTGTTCCGTCGTGAAACGACCGCGGACGCGCCCCCTCCGTTCGCGGAACCGCGTTTGTATTTGCTCGCTCTCCTCGATCACGGCACATGTGTAACGCCCGCAACAAGTGCACGCGCAAATGATTTTTTTTCATGGTACTTTGACCCTCAACCGTTTTATCCGCGTTCGTTATTTACCCGAATCCAGTATTTATTTACGTGCAATCCTACGCCACCGCGGCGCGAAACGCACGACCGGATACATTTCGAATATCCAACGCGTCGATACGCTATTTTGTTTTCGCCCTCTATTTTTTTTATTTTCTATTTATTTATTTTTTATTTTTTTTATTTGGCGAACCAACGCCGCGTCAATTCGACGTATAATATCGCGTATGATATTCCCATCGAACGGAGCGCGGGGGGGTTTCGCGTTTAAAAGCCGACGACGAACGTAATTGCTTAACGACATCGGTGTCGAGAGTCGGTCTTGATTATCTTCCGGGAACTAATCTCGTGGAGGCATCGAACAATGACGAATCTGCGATGAATATTCAACGTATCCGTGGATTCGTTCGTACGTGCCCGCATATCCATTATGGATATCCGTTGGCTGATTCCGGATACCGGCTCGACGTGTTTGCGTTTAAAACCGTCCGGAATTGTCGACCAGTCAGGATGGAGAACGCGTTGCTCGGTGGAACGCGAATTTTCCGAGGGAATTAGGCCAGACGACAGGTCGATTGGTATTTCGAACCTAGCACGATAATGTTCTTCGAAATGTTACAGATTCTAGTCTTCGGGTTGCTGCGACGTCTGTTTCTCCAGTTGTTACTTCAGAGCGTTTAGCCATTTAAGCGTGTTCGACGTGTATACACGTCGGACTAAATCTCAACTGAAGTGCGGTTGGCGTATATACTCGTCGTGTAAAATAAAAAATGGTCATTGACTATAAACACTCGAAATTTTCCTATAAATTTTCCTTTATATTACCAATACAACTGTTACTGTATTTTATGTAGAAGGGGCTCGCGGCCCAAAACCAATTGTATACGAAATCCGCGCCTTGGACGGCGAGCGTGGATTTGCGGAAAAACTGCGGAAAGGAAATGGAAGACGTAAAGAGTCAAGATATTGATGTACGACCTGCGAAGTGGTACTTTGTGTGGTACCATGCTTCGAAAAATATTACACATAAATAAATTGAAATCTTTTAAATGATTTTCTTTTCTCAATATTTCTTGTTTATGTATTAGGTCATCCCGTAAATTCGTGCTGCAGACTATGTTAATATTTAATTAAAAAACTAAAATTCAAGCAATACGGTGGTTGTCATGCTACAAATTATTCTTTCAAAAACAAAAAAAAACTATAACCCATTCACTGCATATCTATCAACATACCAAGGTTTCCTAATACAGCAGAAAAAGAGCACTCATCACATACTGTGTTTAAATCTATAAAATGCAGACGTAAAGGGATGGTGCTTTCGTTCGCAAATAAATAATAGAAAAATAAATAAAAATAATAGTAAGGTAATACATTGAAAAGATGGTTAAAGCACGTCTCCAGAAATAATTTATCCACGATATCGCGCGATAACACGAAGCACTTTAAACGTTCGCCTCGTCGCGCTTCGAAAGGTGCAAATAATCCCCCACCTCATTCGTCCCGTTCTCTCATTCTTCGCTCTTTTCATCGTCTGGCAGCTTTGCTCGACGTCTCCCTCTGCCCCCGTCGCTGGGGAGGGCCCTTGGCAGGCGCAGTAACGCCGACACTAAAGACAATCCGTCGTTTTCACCGCCTTTACAATCGACGCCTTGGAAATACCGCAGCCGTGTTCGCGTGGAGGCTCGCCATGGAAAGTCTTTCATACGAATTTTCACAAATGAGAATTCACGATACGTGCGCGAACAGCCACCCCCCTTGGGGACGGAGACGTGGAGAGGGTTGAGGGAGCGACCCGCCACAGACAGAGGAAAAGAAAATGCAGGGAAGAACGGAGGAGGCGGGGAGCGAGAAGAAAAAAGTACCACTTTAAGCAGCGGCTATGAACGCCTTTCAAAGACGCTGTGTGTATCCTCTCTGCACAGGTGAACTCGAGAGGGTGGCGAGGAACGTGTACGGCTGTGTACGTACATCCCCCGGGAGTCGTGAAAAGCTCATAAAAATATTAAACAGAGAGGGAGAGAGAAGAACGAGGAGAGAAAGAGGAGGAAGTTTGAGGAGGTACTAGCAAGGTAGCCCAGGTTAAGAGCGAGAGAGAAATGGGGGTAGAGGGTGGCTCGCACGTTACAAGCAGCAAACGTACGTAATTTTAATTAAAGCTCCATGATGAAGGGCGTCGCCTGCTCGCGCGCACTCCAGCCCAGCAGCGTTATATTATGTAGGCAGTTATTCAAGTCATATACACAAATTACATAAATCCTCATCGTCGTCCCTTTCTCCCGTTTTCCACCTTCTATCTTTCCCTTTCCTTCCGCCTACCAGCTCTCGACTCCTCCAAAGGAGGCGGGGATTCTCTTTTTTTCCTCCATTTTTTCACTCATCCCTCCGTCTACGTGTCCCTATCCTCTTCCCGCCAGTTTCCGCGTCTCTCTCGTTGCCATTCTTTCCCGTCGTCGCACGAGCGACCGCTGGCTTTCACAGCGTAATAGTTTCCCTCACTAGGGAATCCGTTTAATCGCAGTAATTGGAAAGAGCTGCGACATTATGCGCTTTTTCTTTCTCCTTTATTTCATCGCCGGTTTGCGCGCGCTCCCACCGCCACCCTCGTGAGAAACTAGCGCGCTACGGCTGTCGAATGTGTTCTTTTCTTTAGCTTCTATTTTCACCCTTTTTCCTCCATTCCCATCCCCCCACCGCCGCCTCGTTCAGCTTTTTGTTGCACGTTTCTTTTCTGCTCTTTCCCTGCGAAACGGTGCACTCCAGCGTTGGAGAGAAATCGGCTTTTTTTTGAGGGGAAACGCTGGGAAGATCCGAAATTGAGACTGGCCGCGTGCGTACGTGCGCGTTCCCCATCGACTAGATTGTATCGAATATTGGCAGTGTTGGTTCTTGAATTTATTTTAAATAAATTCTCAGGTACTGATAAGAATTCATTCAATGTGTATAGAAATCGATAGATTTTCTAATAAGGCGTTGAACAAATACATCAGTGATTGGCTTCCGGAGAAAAGAAAACCTTTACGAAGATAACATTAACCCTTTGAGTGCCAGAGGAAATTTCCATATATATGCGAAAAATGCCAGACGATTTTAAACAAAAATGTATATTTCGGTCATTTTTATTTTATACACGACACTAAAAACATGTTAGACTTCCTTTATTACTAAATAAATAATAATAAAACGTTATAGGTTTAATACAATCTTATGAATCCTGGAAAATTTCCATGGATACTGGAAAGTTTGCTACAGCCAGTTGGGTAATTACCTAAGTGTGGACAGCAGACTAAAGAAGACACCAGCTTATCAGCCGTTATATATTACACACATTACGGTATTTAAAATAAAATGGAAGTGCACAAACAAATCTATGTGAATTAGATATTGACATTATTTTCTTAAACCAAATTGATTTTTTAATGAATTATGGCACCTACAGCTTCGAGCAGCGATATATCGCTCTTTGACACTCAAAGGGTTAAGGATCTAAATCGTTTTGTTTGTTGGATCTACAAACCGACTGTGTGGAACAGTCTTTGCTCCTGTTTGGATACTATTAAAGTCAAATCCAGAGTTTGCACGCGAACGTTTAGATTTGAATAAAATAACGAGGGTAAACGTCAAGCGTGTCAAATACTCGAGCTCGAAATATAAAATGCGATGATTGCAACGACTTCGCTGACAACAGACGTAACTTCCGCTCGTCTTGATTCTGTATTCCTTGATTCCTGACTCTGCGGTCCATTAAAGCTGGGAAATTTGCGGAGAAGCCACGTTTCTCGACGGTCGTAAACATTAAAGTAATCCTTGCGTAAGTAAGTGCGTGCACGAATTTCACGGGGCACCCGTTCACCGAGAAACGAAGGATGGATTTCGTTGGACATTAAAAATCCGCGGCCATTAAGTCAGTCGTAAACGACGCGTCGTTACGATTGTCGAATCTGGTCGTCTGTATCAAGGAAGGTTGTTAAACGTCTGCATGTGTTTGTATTATTTGGTGATAGGAGATGTAACACGCAAGAACAATGTGTACATTTCTTTCCAAGTGTCAACGTAATTTTCAATAGGCTGGGTCCGATTAATTGTTAACCGACTTCAAAAAGGAGGAGGTTACCTAATTCGACATGTATGTTTTTTTTTATGTATGTTCGCCGATTGCGCCAAGATGGGTTGACCAATCGGGATGAAACCTCTTGCATCTGGTATCATTGCCACTTGGTCCCATAAAAAAAAATTTGACCTTGTTTTATTTTTTACCACTTTATATCACTTTTATTGCA